CAATTTCTCTTCTCTAAATGGAGAGCTCGATGCGATGAGAAAGAGAAAGATGCCACGAATGAAATCAACGAACGAAAAAACAAACAATTTCAAATCGACGAAACACTTTTTGTTACGAACAAACTAAAAGAAATTTAATTGTGGCCACCGAATTGTGTGGCGCACACCATACACAATCATCACTTTTTCGATGCCAAATTATACATGGAGCGCACGGCTGATAAATGTGGATGAATGGATTATAGAGAAGCATTTGTATGCGCATGCACAACATATTTTGCATGAACATCGACCATAATCATGACGGCACAATGAGGATTTCAATTGAGGTTTTCTAATATTTGTTTTTCGTTTTCGTTCGTTCGTTTTCGTTGTTGTTGTTGTTGGTTACGAGCGTGTGCCGATCGAAAGCCCACAATCAAAACAAAAAACCCACTGAATTAAAAACATAGAAAATCAAAGACGTTGTTCAAATAGCAACAACAATAAAATTGTTTGGTGGGCAGGAAATTTTATAGGTTGATTATTAGGCGATTGGATTTGAATCGATCGAGTCAAGCCCAATCAATTGAAATTTTTGCACAGAAACAATGCCGATGAACTGGATTTTAACCAAATTTTGTCGCCTTTCGTGGGCTTTCATTTTTTGATACATTGAAATGATCGAATTTCATGAGGCTTTCTATAAAATCAACGAATTTCATATTTTCCAGAGTTTTTTTATGATCGACAAGAGTTGGACAAAAATTCGATTTTATCAAAAGCCTCGAGCCTCAAAGACAAGAAAACAATCAAGATTCAAATAGATCGATGTGGTACTCAATGTCGATTCCCAATCGATCGATTTATTATTAAATCATTCATGACATAAATTCTTATTCAATCGATCGCTTCAATTGTACCATCCGAATGGAATCCATTGGTAAATGGCTCAAAATTAGCCGTATTAACTCAATTATCACGTCATAATGTGTATGATCAATGGGGCAAAAATAGTACATTGGCTGCACCATAAATACACACAGTAGGCCGTTGCCGTAACTGAATTGAGTGTGGCACATTGACATTGGTCGGGACGCGCGCGCGCATAGCGTAATCGGACATAAATGTTCTGGTTTTCTATCCAGGTGGAAATGATATATAGGCAAGGTGTAAGTGTGTTAATTGTAACTTTCTAACTGGAAATCGATTTGCGATTCTCTGGCTTGATCTTGACGGAGGAGCAAATGAATACACGCACGCACGCACACACACACATATACACATGAGATCACATGGCACTGGCACTCATATGACAACACTGCACACATATGCATTTCGCAGGTTGTCTGTTTTGAATAATGTCATCTCTTCGGTTCTGGCTGTCGTGGTTGAAAGAGACTTCTTGTTGCTGTAGCCACCTCCAATGACATTTGGCAGCACGCAACTGGCTCAAAGCCATTCGATGCAAACTGTCACACTTACAACGTGTCCACTGTTGGGCGAATGCGTGCGCGCGCACGCGCTTTGCCCATGTGTGTATTGGTTAAAATATGCGCAAACGTGAATATATGTAAATGTTATTCAAATACCGCACTCTTCCGATTTCACTTGAACCGAACAAAAAAATCATTTCTTTCTTCTCCCGTTGTTGCTGTATTGTATGATGGAACAAAATTCAGAATTTTGCTTCGGCCCAAAAAAAAACATTGCGAACTTGTTTCAAATTGCTTGTCCAAAAATGAGGCGAAATATCTTTTTGTTCAGTCAATATATTTCTTCTTTTCGTCGTTGTGTTTTGCTCGTTTATGACGTTTCGTGTTCGTTTTTTTTTTCGAAGAGAAAGAAAGGAAAAAAACCGTGGTATTTATTACGTTCTGTCCTGGTTTAGTGGCATGCACAAGTAAAACTAAATCGAAAATTGACGTTTTTCTTGGGCTCAGGCACAACAACTAACCGACAAGAAGAAAACGATGGAATGACTTTTTATCGAGACGAGATGTATATTCGTGATGAATGGGCAAATGAAAAACTCATGCGTTGCCATCTCATGTGTTTCAGCATTCCATCACACGAATTTTGATGTGTGTATGTGTTTTTTTCTTTCTTCACATTTTCTGTGATGGTTGGAACTCATTGAGACGAGGTGAACGCATTCTCAATATACATACACATACGGCACATTTTTCTGAAAGCACTCACTTCATTTGGATTTGAATTGAAAATTTACCGACAGCGAAGGAAAAAAAAAGCGCAAACACAAATCGATTGAATGGTGATAAACGCAATTAACGGTACCATTCACCATCGAACATCACAAGATTTTGGCGTGTATTTTTTCTTATGCTCGCTCGCCGAAGAAATCTGCATTCACACACACAATATACAACACTTTTCTTCAATTCTGTTGTTGCTCTGTGCTGGCTGGCTGGCTGGATGTTTGTTACTTCTTACGGGTTTCTGCACATGAAAACAAAAGCGTAAATTGCATGAACAATGAAACAACAATTTTTTGTTTCGCTGCTTTGCGAATTAATTATTTGTTATTGGCACTCGATGATCGCGTAAATATTAAGATCCTGTCAATTCGTTCGTTGCACTCTCTCGTACACTTAACACATATCACAGATATAGAAAAAAAAATCATCTTTCTTGTTTACCTAATCAATTAAATGGTGTTTTTGGTACGTTCATCTGGATTTTGTGTGTGAATGTGGTGTGGTGTGGTGTGGTGTGGTGTGGATGTGAACGTACAACGTCGTTTCAAACCGATTGCCACACATTATTTTTTTTTTCTTTTACTACAAACAACTAGCACTATTCCAATTGAGTTCGAAGTATTTCAATTTGAATTTCTTTTACTTTTTGCATTTGCCATTATAAATTTGATCATTTTTGCCATTCCTGGTCTCGATGTTTGATTTCAATTCAACACACATTCACTGCACCACAATGTGATTTTCTCTAATTTTTGCTCGAAACTTTGTTGAAACTGATTGTTGAAAACTTTGCGATGATCGTTCTCACTTGTTGGATGGGACCAACAGCAGCAGCAGCAGCAGCAGCAGCAGCAATAGCAAAGAGAAGCGAGAAGAAGAGGAGAAACAAAAAACAACAACGTATCACACAGGAGAGAATCGTACGCAATACACTGACATTTTCATGAGCAATACACATATCCATGCACAGACACATTGGCAAACATACATAGGTAGACGGTGCACACTGCGGTGTGTGTCTCACAGGTAGATTTCGACAAGAGAGTGAATGAATGGATGGGTGAGTGAGCAGGAATGCGAGAAAGAGAGAGAGAGAGAAAGAGAGCGAGCGCACACACGATGATGCGAACAAAAAACGACAAGCAATTTGTTTCGAAAAAGAGGTAAACGACAGACAGCAGCAGCAACAACAACAACTTTGAATACAAAAGCAGACGCAGTGGAAACACGATCACACACAATTCACAATTCACCGCTCTCTTTGGTCTCACACACCAACATCAAAGAGATAGTACACAATACACTGAGACAGCGTGCGCGCCGCACACAACACCACATATACGTATACATCTCTCTCTTCCTCTCTCTCTTTCGTGTTGTTTCTGTAATGCTTCATTTTTCATTCGAATTTTCAGTCGACGAACATACTATTTCGCACTTAAACGATGGAATTTGCGCGTTGGCATGCGCACATTCAATTAAAATATACAAAATCTACCTTCAAAACCGAACATGGACTCACATTTTTCTGCAAGATCGTTCGGCTGTGGTGACGATTTAAGACAGAGCCGAGAGAAGTGAGAAAGATCTTTGTGCTCTCTCTGTGTGTCTGTCGGTCGTGTTTGTGTGTAAGAAGCTTATTTGTGGTCCCCTCCCCCAAAAAAAAAGAAAAGAAATTCCCGTGAAACAGCCAAACGATCACCGCTGGAACTGTGGGAAGAATCGAATGAAATCCTTTCACCGACTCTCTATCATGCTCTCACCTCAACTCTCGATGGAACAACAAACGCTTATTCTAATCAATGAACAAAACAAAAATGTTCAGCCCAATGAATGGAGCCCATTGTCACAAAATCACCTGAAAAACACAAATATTGTGTGCTCACCGTCGTCACACACAGCAGAAAACAGCAACGAAAAAAAAGAACGGCTTTCGCCGAGCCACGACAACGACTGCACACAGTATAACCCAGTCGTTGATGTGTATCGTTGTGCTACCGCACTGTTGCTGGCACCGCTCAACGGCCTGGCCCTTCAACGATACCATTTTTTTCCGCTTCATATTGTTGTTATTTGTTATCGTTGTGATCATGAATTGCGTCCGTTGTTGTGATTACCTATTTCGTTTCCATACTTATAGTAATGCTGTTTTGGTTTGTCATCCAATAAAATGCTAGCCCAAGCAATCATGTCATTGTCCGATCGCAATGCAGACCATTTGCTATATGTAGCCAAAACATGTAAATATTCATCGTCGTCGTCGTCGTCGTCGTCATCATCAAGCTATCTCGATTCATTCAAGCGAATGTGAATACGAATTACTTTGTTTTTATCGCATTCGTGGTCATAGCAATTTGGTGTCTCCCTTCTCATCTGATAAAATTATGGCTTTTTCATGACAATTTGCGGTTTTTATCATTATTATCATTATTACTCGAACGAGACATGCAAAATCATTCAATGCTATAGTTGAAAAACAAATTGAACTGGTTCTTGTTTTTTCTCTCTGTTTCAATCGAAAAAGGCGGTTTTTTGCTTACACATTTCAATTGATATCATTTGAAAGAAAAAGATCGTTGAAAAATTGACGATTAATTGGATTGACTTTTAATTGAATCGATTCGTTTGTTAATTGAATAATGTTGCTTGAATAATAAGGGCCCGAAGAATGCGAATGGTCTACATTGAACCGGGTTCGATGCGATTCGGGAACTGAGTGGGGGGAAAAATTGATGCGCGTAGCGTCATCTATGGGCGAGAGTTGTTGAATCGATATAGTCAAGTGACGATGACAGCTGAGATGCTGGATGTATGCGTACATCCACACGATGTTATCTCTTTCTAGCGTGCCGAAGAGAACACACGGAGTGAATCGCATTGTGTGTTCGATTCGATGTGCGAGCAATAGAAAATAAACATAAATACAAAACAGACGCACACACAAACACACACACACACACACATGTACACTCATATGGAATTGTGTGCCGTTTTTTGACAGTGACCCGTTGCTTTTATCATCTTCCTGTGTGCTCTTCGTTTGTCAATGGTAAATTAAAATTTCTATTCAAATATTTTCGCTAATTTACCATCTCACGATGGTGTTTTTGTTTTTCTAATAAAACCAATTTGAAAATGGTGTTTTTGTGATTTTCGTTCCCGCTGACAATTGCCATTTTCAAATGGGCAAAAGCAATTCGGTGTTGATTTTCATTTAGTATTGTTATTGTTGTCATTGGTGAATTATTTTTTGTTTTTTTTTCTTTTGGATATCTATCATATTTATCATCGTCCGTTTTCTTATTGTTTGTTTTTGTTCTGTGTTTGAAACGTGAGGCACGGTTTTACACGCCTTGCTTATCAATACTTAGTAAATATTTACTAATATGGCAAAGTGAAGTTCTGGTTTATTTTGCCGTACAGGAAAAAGGCCAAAAAGATAAAAGTCTTATTCATGCGTCATGTCTTTTCTTCTTCATTTGGATTTTAGCGCTGCTTTGTGTTTGAACATAGCGTTTGCCAATGAACGCAAAGACTTGAGGTAGAAATTGACGAGAGACAGACAGACACACAGAAAGAGAGAAAGTGAGAAAGTGAGAAAGTGAGAGAGAGAGAGAGAGAGAGAGAGAGAGAGAGAGAAGCGAAAAGAAGTGTGCAAATCGTTCGAAACAATGAGTGATCCGGATGACTTGACTGGTATTGCATCGAATACGCCACGCCATTCGCTCGGCTCAATCGGTATTCTATCGTACAGCAGCGGATCGTCGATATCACCGTCGAGCAGCAGCTCAAATTCAGCGAAATCAGCCGTTAATGAATGTTTGGGCGCCTGGCTAAATTATTTACAGGTAAGCGATGATTTTTTTTTACTTCTATTGAATTTCACATTCATTTGTTTACCATTGTTTATATGGTAGCCATTCATTACACAAGAGATATCATCATACACTGAATTTTCGTGTCTTTTGCAGATTTTAAACAATTTGTGTGCGTCTGGCTACCGATTGGCCCAAGCGATTGCCACACTTGAACAATGGGGTTTGTTATTCAAAATTTTGCAGAACATTTTATTCATTTGTTTACACATTAATGAGTCGAATTGTTTTCTCTTCCATTTATTTTTGCAGGAACAACGCAGCAGCAGCAGCAACAGCAGCCGCCAACACAATCCCAAACGCAAACGGCACCACCACAAAATCCACCGTCAAGCGGTGGTGGAGGTGGTGGCACATTGGTTGCCACGCAATTTATCAATGCATCAATTATCAATGCATGGGATGATTTGGCTAGGTACATTCGTACCATGTACGTTTAATTCGTACGAAGCTGATAAAATTTGTTTTTTTTTCCTTTTCTACCATCCAGGGCCACAGCCGTTGCGACCAGCACCGTCAAATCACACATTGTTAGTGTGCTACAAGATTTTGTAACACAATCACTAACATCATTCGAAACCGATTCCGATATACGCGATCACAATCAACAGATTATTATGGAAACCACACAAACCATGATCAATATTCAGCATCAATTTTGTGTCGCCAGCTATGACTCTTTTTCAACGCTAATGTGCTGTTTCATGTGTCACGCTCCCGTCGGTTTTCCTCATGATGCTGAATGTGGATTCCAAAAAAGGTTTGTTGACAGATTGATACTTGGGATGCGTTGGCCATATTTTTTTCAAATGGATCAATTTCGAATCATTCATAGATCAGGGTCAAGCGATTTGCGTTCACAAACACCATCACCACATTTTGGACCATTGACCATGAATGTACCAAAGAATGATCGTGATATTCATCGGACGAATACAACGCACACGGACGGCGTCAATCAATCAATTACCAATCGAAATATGATGAACATGGAACTTACGTCAGCTCGTGTACCATCACCACATCAGGTTCAGAGCATCCTCTTCTAATACCATTGATTTTACATGTAAAATAACAACAAGAAACGACGAAAGTGACCTCTCGTAGCGGCACAGTTGAAACTAATGAAACAAACACAATTGAACATGTCATTTTTATGTGCAGTGTTGGTTCTGTGGTTTGCCGTATAGCCGGAGAGAGATGTCTACAGCTTAGTGGCACTGAATGACATTCAACACCCATGGTTCAGAGATACTTACGATCTGTTACCTTACCTTACTTCATGCGCCATTCCATTAAAATGATAGACATATTTTCAATTTCTTTGAATTGTTTTCATTTTTGCTGCCATTTCTTCTTAACTTGAGTCTCAATGGTTTTACTGCTTTAAAATGAATGGTTGAGGACGAAATCCCTGTGTTAACATCGGTGTTTCAATTTAAAAAAAATTTATTATGTGCTTGTTATTTTTTGGTCTTCATCCCTTCATTTTTTTTTGGTTGTTTTTTGCCTTGAATTTGATACAAATCATAAGGAATGTGTGAATTCTTCTGCGATCAGTAAATGAAGCACTTCTGATATTGCACTCATCAAGTTGGATCAAATCAATTTGATTGATCGAAAATAGAAACCTTTTTTCCAATAGTTCGATTCTGAATGAACTGAACTTAAATCAATGGGTCAATGTTCATTCAGATTGAATTGTTTGCATTTATTTGTTTTTATTCTTTAACTTCTAAACTAAAACTAAAAATAAAATTAAAATACAAAAATAATTACATTAAATTGTATTGCAGGATGTACGTGGGCCGAGCCCAGTTCACAATTTCCTCGAGAATATTCGAGGACCGCTACCGCCACCCGGTCACTTATTGGGAATGAAAGCGCCATTTCATCGCTGCTCCCGAAGCCCGTTGAACTTTCCACTATTTCCATTGAACTCGCAACGACGATGGTCAGAGGCGGCTGCTGGCGAAGTGAAAGGTGAACCAAGTATGATGGATGCTGAAAATATGCGACGCTGGTCAATGCCATGGGAATCAAAATCAGACAAGAACACTGTCACTTGGCACCAGACACGAATCATATCACGGATGGCCATGCCGCCGAACACAGGTCATGCAATGTACTCGAAAACTAGCAGCGATCGCAGTCAAACGACCACACCAGGTAACTTTTTTGGATGAATGATTTTTTTTTTGTCAAGAAAAATTTAAATTCATTTGGAAAAAATGAAGTAAAAATTTTGTAACGAGCTTTTGATCGCATCTCCAAATAAAATCCAAGAAGCTGGTGACCGCTCGAACTTTTTTCACTTATTCACCAGACTAAATGTGTACATATCAATTAAGTCTATTAGTCATTTCAAATTTTCAAAAGTGTTTTTAATTTAAAAAAAAACTTTCTTAAAAATCAAGAAAAAGGATGGAAACCCTTTGAAAATGATTCAAAAATTCGAAGAAAGAAAGTGTTTTCACTTGAGAAAAAAATACAGTAAAATATATGAAAATTCATTTTCTTTCCAATTCCGATGTTAATTCAATCACAAAATCAAAATCCATCCTAATTTTTGTAGATTCAATGTATCAATCGTCGACAACCAGTCAGGATGGGCTAGCTGAAGCGATACAATTGCTTTCCTGTCGACCATCACGTGCATATCAAGTTTATCAACCAACACTTGGACAATCATTCGCTGAAGAGCAGCCAACGCATTCGGTTTGTATTGATCAGAATCAATTTCTGTGATCGTCTTGGACTTGGAGAGGGACGGATTTATTGATTATTTCTCTCTCATTCCTTTCAGAATATGGGAACATATGAAATGTGGTCGAATCGTGACGAGGATCGGCTGCCGTGCATCAAATTTCCACGAAATCTAAATAGGCCTGGGCTAGGGCTGGGCGACGAACAAACGCATCCACCGCCATAAAATGTGACATCCACAATTTAAAGTCTTGACCAAAAGCATTTCGAGTTTTGATGCAATTGTTTTGCATTCCGACACATTTGTGAATTGTGTATGTTTCGCCTTGTTTTTCACGTCATCGAACAAAAATCGCTTTACTTCGCGATTTTCCGAATATTTAACACTGCAAAAGAAATGAATTGATGACACGTTGCTATTATCAATTTTCGTTGGTTGTTGTGACAATAAGTTAATATTGACAACAAAAAATCGCAAGTAGAAACGCTCCAAAATATCGGTAGTTTTAGTGAATGGGGTGGCACATATCATCCCGTAATATTTTTTTTCTTCATTACATGGCATGAAAATCGTTTCTTCTTACCATTGTGCTAGCCTTGGTGTTTTCATTTCGATCAGAAATTTTTATTTAAAATTCCATTTTAGTTTCGATTGCGGGAATGCATTTCTAGGCATTTTATGTATGTGGGGCTTTCTGAAGCCATATGACTATTGGTTTTCGTTTGTGTATAAGATTTTGAACATTTGTTATTGTAGTGACAAAAAATCAATGTTTTTTATGTGATAATTTCGGTCGAAAACTATCATTTTTTTTGAGATTCTAACCAAAAAGTAAACGACACGAGGCAGTAGTTACTTGTTAGTTTTTTTTTTTTTTTTCAAAGAAAAATCCAAAAATTCAACCAAAATAATGTATTCACTTTCTTTTTTTGTCGATAATAGTATTTTTTCCGTTATTTTGTCGGATCGAAGAAACTTTAAATATACCAAAACAAAACCAAAATAATTTGAAAACTCCCAACAACTACGCGGCATTACAATTAAGATAATATAATCATTTCATCGCTACTAACTTGAGATTAGAACATAAGTTAAATGAAAAATGTTATTGTGATATTTAAAGAAAAAGAAAACAAGTGTAATAAAACGTAGACAACTTTCTTGATACGAATATTTAACAAAACTTTATATACTAGAACAAACAAATAACTAATCACTCCTATTGTCTAGATTCAACAACAACAAAAACAGAACAACTGTAAAGAAATTAATGTTTTTTCGTGCTTTTTGATACGCAAATTTTTTTCTAGTGGAAGTTCAAATAAATTTATCGAATCAAATATCAATTCTTGTTTGTTTTGCTCTTTTTTCATTAAGAAAAAACCTTCAAACACGATTTTCAACACAGTGAAGCGCAATGGTAATAAATTCAGCAAATCCAAAACCGTTTAGAGTTCAGTTTGCATTGCTTTTGTCCCTATCGCAAGATCACTGACTTGAATCGTGAATGACGTTTATCTGACAAATGCCATTTCCAACATTTGAGTAAACCTTATGACGAAAGCATTTACTTATACTTCCAAACTATACCGTATAGATGCCGTTAGAGCATTCATTGCTGAGTATTTTCCATTTACAGCGCACTTTATTGACGATTTTGTTCAAAGGTTTGCCATTTTTTCATCAAGAAAATTCAGAAAATGATTATTTCTTTTAGAAACTCGTTGGACTTTTTTGTTCACGATGATAACAAAATTCGATTAAATACCGGGAAAATCAGAAGTAGTTTGTTTTTCGAATTTTTCCTCTAATTTCTGGGATCTTCTAACATGTGAGAATTCATATAGGGATTAAAAATAGATATTCTTGCCTCGTATCTCGTACCAAAACACAAAAATGATCCACATGTAAACGAGCGGTTTCGGCTGAACCCATTTTTATTCTCAACGACACATTTGAACCTTTGAGAATAAGAGACAAAATTTAGCAAAGTGTATAGAAAGAGGAAACATGTTGATGTTGTAATCACGGCTAAATAATCGAAATGCAACAGCATGAATTTAAAATAGTGTCTCCCTTACTTACAATGGATTTAAGTGCGATTTTTATACTTCGCTTAGGTTTTTGTCATGTTCTCACATATGAGGGGCTCAGAGGAAAAATGTTACGTAGAAAAGTTCCGCGGAAAAATATTCGGGAGCTAAATGATATCATTTAGCGGAGCTAAATGATATCATTTAGCACACCTAAATGGTATCATTTAGCTTTAGCAGAGCTAAATGGTATCATTTAGCTCCGCTAAATGATATCATTTAGCTCACCTAAATGGTATCACCTAAATATGATACCATTTAGCTTTGCTAAAGCTAAATGATACCATTTAGCAGAGCTAAATGATACCATTTAGGTCTGCTAAAGCTAAATGATACCATTTAGGTGAGCTAAATGATATCATTTAGCGGTGCTAAATGATACCATTTAGCTCCCGAATATTTTTCCGCGGAACTTTTCTACGTAACATTTTTCCTCTGAGCCCCTCATATGTGTGTCTATATTTGAATCGGAATAACCTAAGCAAAAACATCACAATTCACTGATTTTATTTTATTTTCAAATTTTGAATTTCGAATTTGCTGAATCTCACCTAAGTTCCCATAAAATGTTCCTGTTTGTGATTTTTATCATCCGGAATCCGCAGTTATTACGAATACTTACAGTGTTTTAAAATATTTTGGATTCAATGTGTACCTCATTTAGTATATAAAATCACTGTCCAAATAGAAGCTTATCCACCTTCATCATGCGTCTTGCTGTTAGAATCGATTGCGCATTCAAAATGAAACTCAATGCCATTTGTTTAGTCCATTTAGTATTAATTTAATTTATTAAATATGTTTTGATTTTGTTTATAATATTACTAAAATTACAAGTTTTCAAATGCCCTTGAGTCTTCTGCTATGCGAAAAAAAATGAAATAATAAACAAACAAATTATTGAAGAAAAATGTTCGTTTTCCTCGGCTGAACTTGTGTTTGTTTTTAGCTAGAGCGTTAATGTTCGTTGCACCATCAATGAATAAAATTTTGCAAAACTGTCCTCTTTTATCATATAATATTATTGTGACAGATCATATAGAAGGATTCATTTGCTGCTTGAAAATAATCTAATGTGTGTGTGTGGCCTTTGCCCGAGTCAAACGGTAGGCAGTATTTAATTCATTCTAAAATTATTTCATTGAAAAAAATCAACTATATTTTCTGACATTGATTCTCAAATTTAACAGACACATTCATCATTTACTATACGCGGAATTAGGCATTTTACTATTTAAGTCAGTTGTAAATGTGTGTGTGTTCCATATGAAATTTCAGCAATTTGTTGTGTGTGTGTGTGTGTGTGTGTGTGCTGGATGGACAAAAGCAGCCAACAAACAACATTGGACTAATTGATGATGCTGCCTTTGCATATGTATAAAAAAATATTTAGTTGTTAATCGAAAGTAAAACACTTACAAATAGACTAATGATAAATCCATGGATTTAATTTGCAAATGTGTGCATTTCATAATAGTTACAAGTAATGAACTTGGATGAAAATCATTTTCATGCCATTTTTTTTTTTCAAAGAAAAAAAAACCAATTTGATTCTTGAAGCTAGTGTTCGTAGTATGGCCGCAATTCAATAGCCTCGGCTTCAAAGTTGTAAATGTTCTGGCAAGATGAATGAGTGCTGGGCACCATTTGATGTATACGTGTGTTTAATGCGAGAAAACATTGAATTGAAAATGCGGAAAGTGATGAATATTCAATGGGTTTTTGCGTGGGCCGGTTCGCCTTCCATTTACAAACAACACCAAGTGCTTCTAAAATTTGTCGACGCACATGTGTGTGTGTGTGTGTGTGTCTGATTTCAAACGGAAACCATACGCTAATCGATTCGCCGCATTTCTAAAGACATTCCACATCGAAATCGTATGTATTTAGTCAACAAACGACCTACTTCAGCCGCCGTTGCCTTTAATTTATTCGCATGTTGACCTCTTTTATTCGGCATTCTTCAGCAAAACAGCCAATTTTCATCATCATTTTTGCGCCACGCCTCCGACGAAAAAGAAACCCCTTAACCTTGGCTATAGAATTATAATTTATACAAACGTAAGACTTTCCATACACACATACACTCAGCCAGTAATTCATTCACTCAACCAACTGAAAATTGTATTCATCGCATTTTGGCTCTTGCACTCTCTTCACTTGAATTCCATTTGCGAGGAAATTGGCCGCATTTCTCAAAACCGACTCGACTGCTTGGCACATGGAAAGCACCGAACAATAATAACATCAAAAACATTTTGCCTTGTGCGTCTTGCAAAGTGGTTAGTTGTAAAACATGACATATCGGAAGTGAACGACAGTTTTATTCCATGGAAGTTTTCGCCAAACACCTTTGTGGAAAACAACTTTCGGCAAAACTGGACACAACACACACGCACACTTGTACACACATGTTTACAACTAACCACTCGATCATCGTCACCATCAAATTCACATACAACTTTTTGTGAAATTTGAATAACATTCATTGAATCACGCTTTTGGTTTTATTCAAATTTCACAAAATTTCGACACTCTTGTTGCACGTTTCGGTAATGTTCAATTTTGCTACGAAGAGTGCATCAAATCGAAAATTTCATGCATGAATTTGTGGTCCATTGACCATCAAATTGGTGCAATGGAGAATTTCCATCGAGAAAATCGTCCATTCTTAGTTGCATAGACATTTTATTTTGCACTCTTCAAATGAACATTGTGCATTGAAGTTCGTTGTTGTACTAGGGCACGCTTTCAATAGCAAAAATTAAATTATTGTCATTCAAAACGAATGAATGTGAGCTTGATGCATGCTCAATTGCTCATGTCACCGAATGAATGTTTTGAGAAATGTGTTTGTCCTACTCAACATCGGCAATATCGAATTTATTTGAAGAAACAACTCACGCGGCATTGAAATTCCTTCAAATAATTTGAAAACTAAAATTGAAGTGAATCAAAGTCAATGCTAGCTAATGCACACAGCTGGGCCAATTCACATGGCTAAGCCAATTCAAAGTTCATAATAGATTTTTTCTGCGCTTTTTTTCTTCTCTTAAAAGGAGTTTTGTAAAATTTGCTGTTGGTTTGCCATTTTCAGTCAAAATTTATCATCACCAAAATCCCTTACAAATTATCTATGAGTGAACGAACTTCTTATCGAAATAACGACACTGGTAATTTTTTGTTGTTGTTGTTGTTGTTGTTGTTGTTCTCGAATGCATTTTCTGTTTGTTTCTTTATAATAATTAAAATTAGGTTGTCTAATACTAAATTATCACAATGACTTTAAACTAAGTGCAAATAGATAGATTTCAATGTTTTTTGTTCAAATTTTTACATTCCTTCTCTGCAGTTTCTGTGATTGCATCGAGTGAGAAAAAGTTAGGGGGAAAGAAATACAAAATTTCCTTTGGATTGCGTGGAGAAAATGAGAATTTGATTCATTTTCAGTGTGCATGATTTGCGAACAATCTACCAAAATTCAAATCTATTTTTTATTGTTGGATGTGGCATATTTTCTCTGTACACAATTCCAACGGATCACTTGTGACTGTGAATTAAATCTACATTAATTACAAAAGAAAAAAAAAGAAGATTTCAAACAGGTTGAACAACGATATATTCAGAACAATTGAAAATTGTGGTGTTCATTTGATTGATGCGTACAAAATACACCTGAAACTGGCAGAACGAATTGAAATCTATTTGTATTTATTCTAAAAACGAAAAATTTATTCAAATAAGCACATCACTTTGTTATTTATTTTTATTGAGAGCTAAGAAGAGAGCTTTTTTGTTTAGTTTTCAATCGACAAAATTAAACGTTATAGCAGCTTACAATGTCTAAATCTTATTGTTCGATTCAGTATTGAAATAGTTCGCCAAAACCAACACATTTACAAATATGGGATTCTAAAATACAGTTTATAATTTTAGGTGTCGGATGGATGGGGAAGAAGAGCGGGATGTGGTGTGTGTGTGAAGAAGGGTAGTTGTTTAAATTAGTTTAAAGATCAGTATGAAGAACTGGTGGTCGTTCATTGAGTCCATAAAGACTCATGGTGTCACTTTTGGGGCTTTGCATTTCGAGGTGTCGACTTTCGATTTGTGAGCTTTTGCTACCGTCGCTAACTTGTTTATAGCTGAAATTGAGACTGCATGTGGTTTGTATGGGCCGATCACTGCCACCCGATGCCGCTAAATTATTATTACTTGCATTCGTTACAATAATACCGCCGGCCGTGCCGCCCGTTTTCGTTGTCGAGCAAAATTTCTCCGAGCTTCTTTTGCCGAATCGTGGGAAAAAGCTATTTTCCAGCTGCAGTTGTGTGTTAAAATCTTTGCCCGCCGTACAGGTGAACGCTTTCAGGAAGGATTTTTTAAAATTGTCGCTAAGGAATGCGTACAATATGGGATTCATGGCGCTATTCGAGTAGCCAAGACAGCCGACCAACACGAATAGTGTGATCTGTAGACGGGTGTTGCAGGTTTCGGGCGATGATGTGATTAGTGCCACCTGTGATATCCAATACGGTAGCCAACATAGTATGTACACTGTGATCACAGTCAACACCAATTTGGTGACCTTACGGTGTGATCGTTTCTTTTCTTTGGATCGAGTTTTTGGACCGACCGTTTGTAGCTTACGCAATACCATCGAATAAAATGTTAGAATCAAACTTAATGGAATTGCAAAACCGAGTATCAATGAATAAAGTATAAATGTTGTACCCGCTGCTGGATCATTATCCTGTTGTGGCCATTCAATGTTGCACGTTAACTTTTTACTCTCTTTTTCAATGGTGGTCGCATATAGCATGACCGGCAACATAATCACGGCCGATGTGGTCCATGCAATGGCCGCCACAATTTTCGCAACGAATGGCGATCGATATCGTGTCGATGAAACCGGATGACACACCGCAATATAACGATCGGCCGACATAATAAACAAAAATATCGACGATGTAAACTGTGTGATTGATGTGGAAACCATGTACGCCTTACACATTGCCTTGCCGAATGTCCATTCGCCGACGTGCATTGTGATGATCAAAAATGGGACACCAATTAAATAGCATTCATCGGCAATGGCCAAATTCAAAATGTACATATTGGTAACGGTTTGCATTTTGGAGAATCGTAGCACCGCATAAATGACTAGCGTATTACCTGAAATTTAATCGTTTCGAAGCAAAAATTAAGTTATTAAATCATTTTGATGGCAAATTTTCTTCATAAAGATTTTAATAGTAGCAATAATTACCGAACAGGCCAATTATACACACAAGCGCGTACAAAATCATTGATATCAAATTACCGGCCGGCAATTGAATGGATGGACATGATATGTAGGTGTAAAATGTTAAGTTGTTATAGTAGTTGTAGCTGGCATTAAATTCGTTGACGCCATCAATGCCGTAAAAATATGGCGGAAATGCGTGCAGACTGCCATTGGCATGCATATCCGTTGGATTAAGTAACTTATTTGGCATCATAATTTGAGCCACTTCCGATGAGTTTGTCACCGAAACCATCTTCGTCTTCGTCGTTGTTGTAATCGCCTGTGCTGTATGCGTGCCCGCGCGTTCCTTTAGCACAATGTCACTGATGATGATTCAGAACATAAGAATAATAAATGTTGGTATTTCAGTCACGGCATCCAATGCGACCATTCCATTTGAACTATCTTCATTATTTTTATTGACAATCACAACTGCTCTTTTACTCTTTTGCTCTTTTGCTCTGTTTCCTCCGCTTAATTCCAATTTGCCGCGTGTGTGATTCCAACTGAAACGAAAGAGAAAGAGAAAAATGCGCAAAGTATTAGTTAAATTGATTAAATCCAACGACTACATTGCCCCAGATTGTTTTTTTCTCTTGCATGTGAAAGAGTGAGTGGGGGGTAGAGCGAAACAGAATTCAAAAATGCTGTTAAAATTTCCACAGGCATCAACGATAAAATATTCATGAAAATGCCAACGGAAATGTTATCACGCTTCCGAAACAACTAACATAAAACAAAGACTGTGATTTTTTTCTACTTTTTTCCCCTCTTTTTTTCTGGCTCGATTCCCTGTTCTTTGCACGCTACATTTATTGCGAAAATGTGTGAAATATGATAATTGGAAAACTTGCGTTTATCTTTTGTAATCGTTGCATAATTTATGACTGTGTTCGCTTTAGCCCCAAAAACCTTTTAGCATATGCACATGTTTAGTGCGACAGAGAGAGAGAGAGAGAGAGAGAGGGAGAGAGAGAGACAGTAAGGTAAAAGTTCATCGGCTGTCAGTTTGATTTGAATTTAAACTGCAAAATCACTTTGAACTGGTGCCAACAGCTAACGACAGAGAGGAAGTTAGAGACGGAGAAAGATAGAGTGAGGTGAATAGAACGAATAAGCGTACCGTAATTGTTAAATGAAGAATTTCAACATGTAGTCACAAAGTAATGTTCTGCTAATGTTATCATCACACTTTTCCACCGTCTTTGTGATCAAAGTGTGTAAATTCCTCTCTCCCACACAAGTTGTCGGTAGATCTTTCGACACCACACACGAGTAGTTTGCTGCAAAGTTTTACAAAACTCGATTTAAATCCTTTTTTTCATTTCTCTCTTCTTTTTCTTCTCTTTCTCCTTATTCTTCTTCTTCTTCTTCAATGCTTGCAATGTGCTGAAGTTCCAAGGTAGAGATCACCTTGTGGAAGAATGTTTCCTTCACCTCAATTTCAGCAAAATGCACACACATGTCAACGAGAGAAAGAGATTACAATTTATTGTAAGCAAACCATAAACTCTCTGGGAACAAAGAAAAAAAAATCATCGAAATGCTCATAAACAAAGTGCTAACAAAGAATACACAAGCCGCTCTAGCATCAAAATATGGGCCTGACAAATGAAGCGCGAGCCATTTGAACGCACCGAATAAAGATTGACAGTGGGAGCTTTTGCCTAATGTGAAAAATATGAAAAACAGGCGCATCGTAAATCCGCATCCATTTGCACACGCAAACAACTCAAGAAAATGAAGCGAACCAACAACAATAACGGAAAAAAAAGGAAATTTTCAACGTATAAATATTCATTGGCAAGGCAATAACCTCATAAATTCGAATGTGAAAGTTACCCTCTTGTGTGTGCTTGGCAATTTATTTCTTCGTCTTATATACAGTTTTTTTTTGGTCTTGCTTTTGCAATGATATGATTTTCCGCTGTTAGTGGAAAAAATGTGAAAAATAAAAGAATAATACGACCAATTCTCGGCTGTGTCATTGTGTTTGTTCATTATTACTATTATCATCATCAGCCCATAAGCTTTTTGCTTACTAGCTCGCCAAATAGTGGAATATGGCCTAAGTTATAGCTTTGAATGTCGCGAGTGATCTTCTTTTGCCTTTCAAAACGTAAAGGAAATGCCGAACCATTTTTAAGATGAAATACCCGCATCCCACATTCTCATCAATTTTAGTTAAATTAAAAGCGATAGATTTTTTTGTTGCTGTTGCTGTTACGCTTGGTCAAACCGTGACCACTGCAATGCGTAATCACCATACACTGTGTGCAAATGAAAAACTGGTGACCAAAAAACAAAAATCACCAACCCACAATTACCGAACTTTGTGATTTGCATTTTAATTTTCAAACCAATCAGCGTTGAACTGTTGACCATCACTTTTTTTAAATATGTAATATTGTTTTCATTTGTAACCCTTTTTTCGTCGATTTCCACATAATTGATTCACAATTTTAATCGCGCTCTTTTTTACTTATTCATGTGGATCGAATGAATTGGTGTTGGGGTTTTTAATGGAAATTCAACGTTTTTTTATCTCAGTCATATTAGTCAAACCGAATGTAAATTTCAATATAGAACATTTTGGAACAAGAGCACAAGGCTTCGCTTCGCTCCGCTCCACGTTGAATTTTTTAGGAGTTTGAAATTGTGTGGTTTCGTCTGTTGCAGGACTACATAAGATGTAAAAATCGAAAACCAAAGGAAATGTATTTTTCTTATGTCTTGACCTCGCGAAATATATGGCAAAATAGAGAAAAAATGTCTATACGATTTAGAAAACTATCTACAATCCTTAGTTGCTCCAAATTTGGGAGTCTCTCTTCAAGTGGTCTAAAGAGATGAAAAGAAAAATCTCTATAAAAATCCGAACAATCAACGATGGAATGAATCAATAATTGGGCATGGCAACATATGAAGCATGACAAATAGCTACAATGTTCTCATTAATTTCTACCGTGCGACTTGTGGCTCATTGATTTTTATGAACAGCAATGAAAAAAAATTGATTTTTTCAAATGTTGTGTTGAATCATTTGTGTAATCACGATATTATAATGCATGCAAGTTGAACAGGTACAATTAATGCGATTAACACTGATTGGTTAGGATGGGTAAATATTTCATTATTAATGGTTCGAATGAACATTTTTTTTCGATACAAATCAAATGGACATATATTTTGTTCACTCTCTCCAGCACGTAGTGACAATACAGACTTTTTAATCCGATTTTCTCTCTGTCTCTGTCGTCAATTGAAGAAAAAAAGAGAGAAACATATTTCAATATTTAACCCAAATTTCAACGATAGACTAAATACACTTCAAATTAATTATAAATCATGAATATTTGCTGAGCATTGCTATTCATACATGAAGTGGAGCATCAAAATTAACTGGATTTTATCGCGTCATCCACATCATTATTTCGATTTATTTCATTTCAACATGTAAAAAAAGCGATTCGAAGTTTGCAACAACAACAAAAAAACGACCCGTCGAAATGAAGAGTATGTAAAGTCTCGATAGAAAAAAAAAACCATATTCCGTCTCAATTTTGAAATTTCACAATATAAATGGCATCAACGCCGTCTATAATTTGCCTACTAACGAAATAGACCTTGTGAATGTGATTCAAATTCAGCCATCGTATCTAATTGGATTGGTATACCTAGATAACAAAAATGGAAACGAGAACTTTATATCCTTTGAATGATGTTTTTATTGATTGTTGATTGTTGGAGAGTATATAAGTTATAAAAAGAAAATAAAAACCCACCTTGGTGCTCCTCATTCTTATTGCCACTTTATTTTCATATTGTTCACATTTTGAATATAAGCACGGAGGTCGGTTTTTTTTATTGATAGAATGGAAGAGCATTTTCTTGGAAACCAATTTATTTAGCTTTTGATATAAGAGCATCGAAATTTGTGTGCATTAAAGTTAAGTCCATTTTCCAAAACGATCACACACGTATCTGGTGTAATCTTCAAATTGGTCGTACATATTAAATGAAGCCGTACATATCGGAGCTTCAAATGATTTATCTTAACGAATGGAATGATTATGGATTGTGTAGTAGCAATTACGCACTTTGGCCATAAAGAGTCTCATCGACGGAAATGGAATATGATGTTGTGGATTTTGTATGGTTTTTCGAAAAGACATTAAAACTAAAGCAGTAATGAATGAGTGGGATAAGTCAATTAAATATGCAACCAAAGCAAAATTTGGTTGAGATTAAAACCAAAAGAGAGCGAGCGAGCAAGCGATGGAGATAGAGGGATGTTTTGTGTGAATTGAATGGATAGTAAGAAAACAAAGAACTATCACTATTGAGCATGGTGCCAAATTGATGTTTTCATGCGATAACGTCGTATTTTCACACAGAATTTTCTGATTGCAGCTTGAGAGCAGAGCGATAAAGGGCTAAAAGACATGGAGGGTGGGTGGGGCGACGAGCTAGTTCGGTTGGTGTTCACGTATTCAATGTTTAGTGCTCATTTATCGTTTGCACTTGTCTTCGTGTTTTGAAACACTCAAATTCCGAAAATCGCAATGGTGAGATTGCACTTCAAATGGTTCTGTATGGATGTAGATGCAGTGAGTGTGTGCGTGTGTGTTGAAAAGGCGAGCTAGATTGAGATTGAGGAAGCGAGTGAGTGAGCGGGAGAAAGAGAGAGATACCAAGTGACAAAGAGATTGTACAAAACGCACAAAAACCCTTGTCGCTCATTCGGAGTGAATTAAATCGAATGAAAATAATAGCGACTATCTAATGAAACGACTTGTACTCAACGACTGTGTACATTATGTGATTGTGCCAATGGCAATATCAACAAATTTCAACCACTGAAACCATGTGCAAAATCCGCACTACACACATGCTCACACACTCGCACACACCACAAGACAAGACATGACAATCGCAATTTGTAATTGAACCCGCCATTAGTTTGGTTTTATATGAATGCGGTCGCTTTACGAAATTGAGTTGTGTGCGGGTGTGCATTCGGACTCGTGTCTCGTCGCTTTTAATTCGTTTCGATTGGTGGCAGTTAAAGTCTAAATTTGATCAAATCGATTCCATTAAGCGAATGGCTCTTTCATCTCCACTACAATCTACCGAAATGGGCAGGAGAAACACAGAGCGAGAACGAAAGAACGAAATAAAGAGTGAGAACGGTAGAACGGTGAAGTGCATCAATCGACCGCACCAAAGAGACACACCAACTTCGTTTTCTGTAAATGGCAAATTGATGCAAGCTGTTGTGAATAGAATTACAAAACAATGAATCCAATTTTAAGTGATAATAAATTCAATTTCTTATCATTTCGAGTTGGTTTTATGGCAACCCATGAATTGCTGCTGCTGCTGCTGCTCATCACCAACACACATACACAATTTGTGCAAAGAGAGAGAGAGAGAGAGAGAGATAGAGATAGAGAGAGAGAGATGGCGTGATGGTGGAAGCTGCAAAGTTTCCGTTGAATTTTAAAAAGCATCTCGTTAAAGTGACACTCATTTCCCCGGCGATTGTGATAGTTTGCTTGTTTGATAAATAGTTTAGCGGAAGTTTACATTCTCTCTCTTTCTCTCTTGCTCGTTGTGTATGTGTTTGTCTTGCCTTCCGTTCGTTCACTCCTGCTCTTTGTATTGCACCCGGTTGTAATGGACGAAATTCAAATACGTATCGAAAAAGTTTGTTCTTCTTTTTTTCTTCTCTCTTTTCATTTCTTCTACAAAAATGTGTGCTACATATTTTCACATCTGCCATTTGAACAATAATAACAAACAATAGTGTCGCTGTGAGAGCAAGGGATCTTGTGTGCTGTTGTCCTTGTTGCTTACTTGGAAAATTGAATTTTGTGTGATGACAACGCGCTCACGCTTGCACAATATCGCCTGTGTGCACGCAATTAACGCATTTGCACATCACAAGCGTGCCCGAGATAGAACCAAAACTGTCACAGAGAGAGAGAGAGAGAGAACGAGCAAACGAAAGACAGAGAGAAATTTCCGCTTTTTGAGGAAAATTGTGTCACCAATTATCATTATCTACTGGCCATTGTACCATTATCGCATTGCAGTTGCCCCAGGTCGTCTTCTTTGGATTGTGCGCTCTCTCTCTCTCTCTCTCTTTCTCTCTCTCTCTCTCTCCCTCTCTCTCTCTCTCTCGTTTACGCTCATATTGATTGTGCACCAAACACACTATCTCAAAACTGATGGCTTTGTGCCATGCAACACAAGGAAATAACAACACAGAAGAAGGTACAAACATTTGTTCAAGCTTGATTGCGATACAAAAACGATGCACACTTGTATACACACGCACACACACATACTTACCCCACCACCTCAAACTCTCCCCCACACATTCACGTTCAAACAATTGGAACGCTGCTGCGAGTTGGAAAAACAAATTTGCGACTTATGGAACACATAAAAAACAACAACAACAACAACCACCAGCGGAATGCAATCTGCCACTCGGATGAATTAATTGCGTACACACAACGCGAAAGAAATAGTTCATTGTTCAATGCTCATTCATTGCACACAAAACAGAGAAGAAGCAGAAGGGAGAAAAAAAAACATATTGCGATTTGGTGGCGAGCAATTTTCTTACTATGCCTCTTCATCATTTGCTCTTGTTTGTCGCCGAGATTGTTTCCCATTTTGCACCATCGTCCTTGTTTCTCATACACAAATCATATGCCACTTAATTTGCGGGCCGAAGCGTAGAAACCACACTCGCACCGATTATTCAAATGGATGTAAATTTCGATTCAATAGACCGCACATGTGAAAATAATTAATCATAATTATCGCGGTACAAAACACACACATACACACACACACACCACTATTTTGTTTTACTATTTTCGCCTTCTCTGCTCTTTCTCTTTAAATTGAGTGTCGTATTTAAGTTATCGTACGCAGAGGGCAAAATTGCTGAGATTTTCATGGCAGCGATACTTTTGTGTTTGTGTTTGTATGTGACAAGTTGCCGGTTGGTTAGTACTTATTAAGCTGCAATTTGCACTCATTTCTCATGCAGCAGCAAATTTGTGCCAATTTGTCGGTGATTTCGTCGGAAAAGTTTTCCATTCTTTATGACGCCCGCTCCACACATTTTGAATTCCAATGAAATGGGCAAAGATTAAGTGCAAATAATGCAAAAAGTAAAACTTTGTTTTATGGCACGTACTAAATGTTCATTGTAAGTCAAAAATGTTTTTTTTTGCACTCATTGCTTTTCACACTTTCTTAACGTCGGCAGAAGAGGATGCTAGGGTGGGTGTATTCTTTTGGAGTTTTTTCGGTGACTTGGCTCTTTAGTTTCGATGGGCGAATGAAATTAGCCGTGGTGAATGCTCGAGAAAGTTAAACATTCAAAATAAACGGAAATCACATCAAATTATGCTCGATATTGAATATTCGACAGACGCCGCCGCTGCGTGTACGTAAACGCCCTTGAATCTCGATGGGGAACGAAGTTGTTTCAAATGCAATTAGCTGGTGTATGCATATATAAATACCTATTGAAAATGAGCGCGAATAGGATCGACCAATATTCATTCATTAAATGCGAAAATAATTCGATTCATTAAAAGTTCTCGAATCGGAGTACGCGTATTATGCGAGCGCGAGAGCGATGGAATGGGGCAGATGTTTCATTGGCTGAAAAGTTCAAATGTTGCAAATTTACATTTCAACTTCAAGTGTAAAAAACACATTTGAATAGGTTTCGAAGTTTGTTCTTTCTCCATTGCGTGCACGAACTCTTGCGTTAAGGTGGATTTGTGTGTTTGGTGTCAATTACCTCACGAATTCAGAGAGGAATTCCGTAAGAATTTTTCGAACGGTCAAAATTGAAAGCGTATTAAGGAATTTCCATTTTGTTAACGGTTGTTTTCCACCAAAATATGTGCTGTAATTCGTGCGATAGCTCATGCTTTCTCGATTCCCATCTCTATCTACCAATAGCTCCGTGCGATACCACCACTCTGCTGACTTCCAAAAGAAAATGAATTGGCATCTATTTACATAGTAATTTTATGCTATCGTGTCATAAGATTTGGCCCTTGGTCCGCATCTCTCTCTCTTTCTCCTCCTCTCCGTGTGCTTCTTGTACCGGAATTCATTTATCGCATAGCGAAAAAGCTAATGCTATCAAAATAGGGAAATGCTTTATGCGCTCGAGCGAATAAATAATGCTCAATTTCAATAAATCCATTCTATTGACTTTTAAAACGAATCGGTCCGCATTCAGTCGTGCCGACAATTGTCGCTTCTAATTCCGTCGGCAATAAAATATAACGCGCGTGAAAATATGCACAAGTGTTTTTCTGCATCTTCTCTCTCTCTCTCTCTCTCTCTCTCTCTGTGTTTGTGTGTATTTATTTTAATTCATCCGTTTTCGACCCTTTTCATTTCTTGCTTTCTTCCCGTCGTCCCGCAGTAATGGTTGCTTTCTTGGCACTTCTGTGTGCGACCGACAACGATGTGAACGAACACGACTCTTCGGCTCTCCCCCCAAAAAGATCGTATCAAATTAATAATTATTGACACAGAAAACAATGTTATTTTGCACGATTGAAAAATGATGGTCGATGTCGTCATCGTCATCGGCATCGGCATCGGCTTTTGCGCAATTAATATACGTGTCTGGCGCAAAAATCCGAGAGAAATAGATAGAAAATCAGAGAGAAATAGATAGAGAAAGGATCTCGGGAGAAAGAGAGCGACTGTGTCTCAAGAGAGATGGTTTTGGTCATCACTTGGAATTATCTGCTCGTTTGTTGATGCATTTTTTTCTCTCAATCTCATGAGAGAGCGCGAAAAATCGCTTCAAGTATTGTGTTTGTGTGTGTGTGTGTGTGATCTTAGGTCGGGCGGAGAGTTGGTGGCCGATCGGAAGGAAGTGGTGAAAACAACGAAACCGACAGAAAGGAGTGGACGCGACCCCACCGAAACAAATTATGCAAAATCAATCTCCGATTTATAACAAATTGAGCAGCCTTTATATCTCACTCTCTTTCTGCTCTCCATTCACTCATTCATTCATTCATTCATTCATTTCATTGCGTTGAGTGCTCTAATGAAAATGGGCCTTGATGTGAGTTGTTTTGGTTTTCTCTACAAAGTGAAAAGGTTAAATGTTATTTGTTCTGGTAGATAATACGGGCGAAAAGTTGTTAATGAGCAATCCGAATATATATTAAATATTTAAGTGTTTTGTTACCGCGAAAATGCGCGCTTGAGATACCCAGTTTATATATACTAACACACACACACACACACAAACACCACCCAACAAATTTTCACTCCAAATGCCATTAGACGCATCGTTTTCAGTTCTTCACTTGAGGCGATTCTGTTTGTTTGTTTTCGCTTGCGTGTTTGTTGCGCCTTCTATTCGTGTTTTTTGTTGTTGTTCTCCGTTAGAACCAAAAAAAGAAGAAGAAGAAGCAGCAACAGCAACAGTAGCAACAAATATGAAATCTTATCTCGAGCATTGCCCATTGCCGACGTATTTAATTATCTCTCGTTTCGTTGTCGGTCGTTGAAAAATGTGCATAATGGAATCAGTTGAGAGGAAGAGTGAGAGAAATGAAGCAAAAAAAATATGAATAACTCAGATTAAGGCGATTCATTGTCAATGCCAGCCGGCAATCCGTTCCCAAACACATGGCCTCAAGAATAGTTGTTTTTCAATTTTCTTCTCTCCATCTCAAAGTGTATTGCCTTGATTTTTGTTTTGACACTTACAAGACCTATAGGCATATCACAAACACCACGCTTCGAATCTCTTGATAGAAAAAGAACGAAACGAACAGCGAAAAAAAACATACGGCTCATATCAGTCACACTTTCTCGTACAGTTCAATCAGATTACACATGCTCCGTAGCGTTATGATTTAGTGACTAAGTCAAATCAAATTTTGGCTCATGAGATTGTTTTTAGTCGTATTTTTCCTTTCAAACGATTACAATTGGCCAAATTGCTGAATCGGTGGTGAGTTGTAAAAGGCAAAAATTAGTGGCGACAAAAAACAGTTCGTGAGTGTGATTAAGTTTTGTTCAATATTTACAACAGTTGGATATGCTAGAAGAGCACACCATAAACAAGAAATTTGGTAGAGCGCTATGTAAATGTGAATAATAATTTTGGAATTGATTTGAAAATCGGGTAGATAATTAGAAGAAAATCAACAACAAAATGGAATTGCTATACGATGCGGATGCAATTTACGGGCATGCATCAATAGAACAGCCGCAGAAACCATGTGAGTTCGGATATGTCGGAGCTTAAGTGCCATTGTTTGTCACTGTGGCTGCAGGTGAACGCCAATTTAATTGAATAATTTTCGACGCACACACAAATTTTGCAGGTTTCTACGTGCCACAACGATATGTATTAACGTTTATGGGATTTATGGGATTGGCAATGGCTTACATGATGCGTTTATCATTGTCTGTAGCAATCACACAAATGGTACCACCACCGATTGTCCAGCTCACCAATTTGACGACATCAACGGGCGAAATGGAAATTATTTGCCCATACGCTGACGAAAATTACTATTCCGAACACTTCAATATGACAGCCATATTTGATCGATTATACTCGGTAATGTTCGGTGCATTTTACACATTTATCCAATTACTAACACGACCCACGATGCCTACGAATAGATTATGCACCATATTCAGATGGATTCATCTCATTCTGTGAGAATCCGATGAATTTGCGTTCAAATACAATAAATAACACTGCGAAAATATGTCAAAGCAATTATTCGGTTAATTGTCATACGGCAATTATCGGGTAATAAATTGATCAATTAAGCGTATATCCGTGAATTCGCGACCAAAACATTTGCGATGCGTATAGTTTTCGTTGCCAAAAGTCGATATTGCTTCCATTAACAACCATTAGAACTATGAACAGCAAAAACTCTCTTAAGAGAGCGACGAGCGCATTGTGAAACTGTTGTCAACTGGTAATTAATTGTTGGTTTGTTTTCATCTTCTTTCTTTTCTGTTTGCTTCCATCAGGGTGATAATGATGTCTATGGTTGGTCACAAGAACAGCAGGGGATCATACTATCGGCATTCTTCTGGGGTTATTTCATTACACAGTTGCCTGGCGGCCTTCTATCGCAACGATACGGTGGCAAATATGTATTTATGCTGGGCATTTTGTTTTCGGCCATTTGTTCGCTGTTAACACCGTGTGTTGTGCGATTTGGTAACCAATGACACAGATATAAAACAAAAAAAAACTTTGAATATTCATTGCATTAGTCACACACGTGACAATGTTTCATCTATGTCATTTTGTCACACTGATTTTTTTTCTTTCTCTTGATGCCTTCTTTTTTATATGGTACGGACATACAGCCGAATCAACCGGTTTGATAGTATTGCGAGTGTTTAGTGGTCTTGGTGAAGGAATAATGTATGCGGGATTGACGGATTTGTTAGCGGCATGGATTCCATTGCAAGAGCGTACCACACTTGGTTCATTGGCATACGGTGGATCGACGGTAAGTGCAAATCAGCTTTTGCCACAAGTATGCGACCAACAAGCAGAATAAAAAAAATATATGGGAATACGTGAAAGCCTCTCGGTTCGGATCACGTTTGAAATGATTTTCACGTCATAAATTCACAAATACGCCATATGTTCACATCGGTTAAACGATGCTAACAATGGTCATCATTTCGAATGGCATAATTTTCGAATAACTCTTGTGTGTCCATTTACAAACCATCCACCACCGTCTCCATCTCAGCGCGCCATATCGCCAACAAATAACTGTGTTGGATGGAATTAAATCGGATATTACAATATTATTATCATCATCATTTTTCATAATTTGCACGATGATTCCGAGAGAGAGAGAGAGAGAGAGAGAGCGAGAACGGCTGAACGCATTTTTATTACCATCGTAATGTTCGTTTATTGATTGTTTCGGGTACGAACGGTGGAAGAACGAACGGTGAAAATATGCTCAAATAATCATAATAATGACGGATTTTTTTTTTTCATTTCGTTACTCTCTCTATAAATCTCAGGTTGGTACAATTGGCGGCACATATTTGGCAGCATCATTTATCCATCATTTCAAAAGCTGGCATCAGGTCTTTTACATCTTTGGCGCGCTAACAATCGTCTGGTGTTTCCTTTTCGTAAGATTTCATTTATCATTTTATGTTTGGCGGTTTTTTGTTCTGCTTTCTCTTCTTCTTCTTCTATACCTCAGACCGAGGGCCTCAGTCAACGAGCTCAAAAGCAACGAACAAAAAAATGAGCCAATTGTATCGATCATCGGTCGATTGAAGTGGGAAAAAAAACAATGCTATTGAGGAGAAAAAGGAGCAAAAAGACAAGGCGCATATTGACGTTTTGGCTCTGGCAATGGCATTCAATAAATCGCACGTACGCCTTATTGTGTGCATTCGCTCGCTCTCCAACCACAAACATTTACATTGTTCGCTTTTGGATTGTTCCATTGTTTTTTTTTCTCTGTCGTCGTCGTCTCCCGCCTGAATTATTATTATATTTCAAGCACACAATAACTCTCCTCTGCACACGGTTGCAGTCACAATGGTCATAAAAGCAAGAGCGAAATGATGAAGATGAAAAAAAGCAATGCCGAAAACGACATCAGAATTTTCGGCTTTTTATTGAAGTAAATGTTCATAATGGCCATATTAAGCATTATGAAATAGCCCGATAATATTTGACATTTGCCCATGTTTACTATTTAATGTCATGAATTTGCGTATTCGAAATAAATATTGCAAGCTCCCCTCGTCAAACCACAAGAAAAAACCAATCCAAAGCATACATTATAATGTGTGCACATTATGCGTTTGTAAATAGATTTATATGAATATTTGTCTTTCGACCAGCCCTTAAGCATTAAAGCACCAGCGGGAGAAAATGAAGAAGAAAAAGAAGAAGAAGAAGAAGAACAACGCGAAGAAGAGAGAGAAAAAATTGCATCATTCGATCGATATACATATCAAGCGCGTACACACGCACGCACGTTCATCGTATCGAATACACACTATATTGGCATCGATAAAAATGTTTATCGGCATTCGATTTAACATCCATCACACATATTCTCCTCCCTATTTTTATTATTCTCGCATTCATTCCTCTCACCACCCTCGCAAATACAATCTTCCGATTTTTGCAGCTTCTGTTGTGCTACAATGATCCGGACTGCCATCCATTCATAACGGACTATGAAAAAACGTATTTACTCGATGAACTGGGTCAGCAACAGCGTAAAACCTCATTGGATGCAAGCATCAAACGAAAGGCAACCAAACGTACACCATGGCGACAAATCCTCACGAATGTGCCGTTTCTTGCATTAATCTTATGTCAAGTAAGTTCCAAATGCCAAACCGAACAAAGTCGGAGGTTTTCGTTTGCGTTTTCGCACTCGCAATTTTTTTTTTATTATGTGTTGATCCTGTTCCGCGCGCATACGATACTCGATACAAGAAATGAGTGAGCGAGCGAAAGCGAATCAAGCATGGTTTCTACTTTCGACTTATTTTCACACATACTCGCGTTCTCGCGCTTACTTGATGATATATCCATAAAACACATCATTTTATGGACTACTTAAGTGACAATCGTTGCTGTCGGCTGCGATAAAAATGGTCTTTTTTTGCTCTTGCTCACTCTCTGTACCTTGCAACAAACAACGTAAAATCGAATGTGTCGCAACGCATGAACACTAGAAACGCAACTGTCTGATGAATTATCCGACAGGTAAATTCGACTCGCTGCACACTTGATATGTGACATTTTATGCTTTGTTTTTCTTTCCTCACTCATTTGTTTGTGTGATTATAATTATGACGCACGGAAACCAGATATTTATTTCATTTTTGTTTTCAGCTCATGTATATGTTTGAAATCTATTAAATGCTGCAATTGGAATCGCACGGTGGAAAAATCCATGAAGCATTGAATTGTATTTGAACACAATGTGAAAGCACTTTGATGTATTGTGATCTGGCTTGTAACCAAGTCGAGGCGAAAAGAAATACACACACACATATTATATATATGCGTTGAAATTGTTATCTGCAATGGTTTTTCAAATGTAAGCTACTTGTTAGAGGACACAATACATCAGTGTTATGCTTTGTGATTGATAATCGTCTGAATATTTTGATTAATACGCATTTTATTTTTCGATCCAGTCCATTCATCCATCAAAAAAACGCACCATTTCGAGCGAGCAATATAGATTTTAAGAATGTATTTAACATGAAAAAGCTGTTTTTTTTTTCTATCCACTCGTTCTTTCGCCTAGCTCGTTTCTACCCTCCCTCCATTTTTTTCACTTGGTTCAAGTTCCTTCACGGCACTTAGTGCAAAGAATTTAGCATTGGATTACATCTGAAAGTTGCTTATGTGTGCGCCTGCTGTTTTCACTGCTTCGTTTACTTTTTTCTTTTTCGTGGAAATCTCAAGCACATATCCCGTCATGAACAAGAAAAAAAATTCGAACAAATATTAAGAAAAATCACCAAACTCAATCACACATATCAAAACAACGCACACACACACACACACACACACACACCGATTTGGTTGTGTTTTCTTTTTAGGTTTGGGATTTTGTTTATGTTTTCAATTGTCTCGAAAGAAAAAGCATCTGCTGAGTACTTGGAATTTTTCCGGCGTTTATATTTCAGTCACCACCAGCCGTTATTTTTTTTCCTTGCTTTGCCTTCCCTTACCGCACCACGCCGCGTCGCATTTCCCTTTATTGTGGCTGTGTGTGTATGATGCTTGTGTGTTTTGTGGGAAAATAAATAGAATGCGCTTAAATAAAGAAGAGAAAGAAGACGAAACAGAGAAAAAGAGTAAACGTTTTGGAAGATTGCTGGCCGATTTATATCCGCTTGGATTTAATGTCATGAAGTATCATGTTCAAGTGGATTGAATTTTCCTTTTTTTTCCTCGGTGCTTTTCCGAAAGGGAAATCATTTTTTTTCTTCGTTTGTTTGTTTGTACAACGTGATTGTTTGTAATCTCATTGAACTTATAAGCTGTTGAATGCTTCAACAATATGAGCTTGTATTGTGGATTTTTGACACACAAACTTCCACAGAAGCCTTAATGACTTTGATTCAAATATATACGCGTCATGAATCAACATAGGAAAAAATATACGAAAATAAGTCGGTTGACACTGGAAAAATAATAACAAAGAGAAAATAACACACTGTCAACTTCATTCACTAGAACTTTTGTTCCATTTCAATTAAAACCACCCGCTCAATTTAATCCAACCCGAAATTTTCCATGGGATTTTTTCGTTTTTCTTGTCCCTTTCAAAACAAAGTTATTTACATTTCCATTTCCATTTCGATTCAAATTTCATTTCCATTTTGTCATTATTCTTGTGTCACTAAAAATGTTAAAAACAAAACAACAACAACAAAAACGAGAAAAATTTATTTTTTTATATCAATTTTGCATCAGGTATCGCATGAGTGGGCATTTTGTGTAATTGTACTGGATTTACCCAAGTATATGAACGATGTGCTGCACTTTTCCATCCAGGACAATGGCATTTATTCATCGATACCGCAGCTCATAAAATTGATAATGGCCTTGGTTGGCGGTGCAATCAACGATTGGCTTATCGCTGCCGATCACTGCACCATTACCAATGGACGAAAGATATTCGTCTCGATCGGTATGTGTAATTGAAAGTGCCCATCCAATACAAAATTGAAATGTGAACAAAACCAAAAGTTTTGGTTGGAATACATTAGTTTCTTCTTCTTTAAATTTGCATGTTTCTCTCTCTCTCTCTTTTGCAGCGTCAATATTCACGGGTGTCTTCATTATAGCCGCTTCGTATGCACAATGTGATAAAATGTTGGTGGTTGCCTATTTCACTATCTCCGTTGCATTTCAAGGTGTGCCGGGCGTTGCAATTAATACATTGGACTTGAGTCCAAATTATGCGGGCATTTTAATGGGTATTGGCGGTACGGTTACATCGATAACGGGCATTTTGGTGCCGTACATGGTTGGTGTGGCTACGTCAAACGTAAGTACAGCACCGCATTCTGGTGTTTTAATGATAAGATGCGCGTGAGCGCATAACACTTTGTTTAATACCTGTCGGAATGTGAATTTAATTAACTATTTCTAATTTTCTAATTATATCAAAACTCGGTTATTCTTTTGGCATCGGATGGCCAACATCACTCACATACATACATCGCGCGCGATTTCATTGTCCATTCAATGTGATGTAATCTAGTTCTCGTTACATTAAACACACCATTTCAAACACTCATTAAGCAAAGTGATTTTACCGCACAAACTTGAACATTTTCGCCATTGACTCGTTTTGTTTTTTTTTATTAGCATTATTAAAAGGAGCCAAAATGATTGCGTTAAATAATTATCATTTGGTGTTTTTTTCTCTTTTGATTTTGCAGTCATTGCTGAGCGAATGGCGATTTGTGTTTTGGATCACGTTTTGGTTGCAAGTGTTGAAATTGTTCATTTTCTCAATATATGGATCGGGCGATGTGCAATCATGGGACTCATACGATGCCGATTCAGAGGTTCGATTCATTTTACCCGGTGATGATGAATCAGATGAATACTTAGAGGAGAAATCCAACGACAGCACTAGCTTAAGTTCAAGTGACTCTGACCTCCTTGTTCGATAAGCCTTTACTGTAATTGAAATTCAACGTTATTCGTTTTTTTTTGTTGTTGTTGCTGTTCTTACCATTTAAATCATGCAATAAAATTGCGTTTTTATCACTCGTTGAAATGCGTTATTCGTTTTTTCTTCTTCACCGCTCTCTCTATAATACTTTGTAAATACATTTTAATTTGAGCACTTGCACTAACGGATTTAAACAGCAAATAAAATCGGAAGGGAAAAAAACGAACGGAACAACCATTCGCATTGTAATTAAGAATGGATTCGAACGGGAAAAAATAGAAATTTCCAATGCAAATTGCGAACAGAGTACGTGTGAATTAATGAAGGGCTCAAGGCAAGAAGAATAAGCTCATTTGCAGCAAGAAAGATTGAAAAGAATCGGTGTGTGTGTGTGTATGTGCTCGAAAAGCACCTCGAAACAAAATGTAAATTACTAGACATAAAGAAGATTTGCTTTTCAGTTAATTATTCAATCTCTTAATAAAATCGGATCGTAGTTGTGCATCAATATAGTCGTATTGGCCCTTTGAAAACGGGTGCTCACATCTTTTTGATTGTGCATACACACACACACACACACACACACACACACACACACACACACACCTTGTGCACAAATCTCAGTACAAAGTCAGTCGGTTGACGTCGTCGTTTGCTGTGACTCTTTTGCGCTGTGTTTCTTTTCGCTTCGTCAAAATCCATAAAAAGGGCAACGAAGCCACCCATAAAAGATTACCAGCCAAGTAATGTATTGAATAAAATGCAATTGGAAATGCGAGCGAAAATATCTATGCACTGTACAGTATGCACTCCGGATGAAACATAAAGGATGATTGCGCTATGGCAAGCACCAAAGAACGGAGGGTGGGTGATGCAGTGAGTGAGTGTGTGTGTGTGTGCAGTGCACTGTGTACAAGGCAAAGCAACTTTATCGCAGCGCATACAATTACCAGAAATACATTACAGTTCGGGTATTTTGCGATAGAGATAGCGAGCAAGAAGGAGAGTAGATGGGAAAGAAAAGCGCGAACGAAATGTGTAGGACAAATGCGAATCGCACAACTTACATTTTCCAATCGAATTCGTAGCGCTCGCTTTTGCACACCCATGAATTGTCTCGCTCATTCTCCCTATCAACGAAAAGCGAATAAAAGTTATGCGATGTGCATAAAAAAGTCTTTAAAAAGAGATTTTCCATTAGTTTGAATTGCACGTTGTGAACGCGCTGTCGATGATGGTGGTGGTAGTGGTGGCTGCTATTGGCTGCTGCGACAACAACATGTGTGTGAGTGAGTGATTGTGTGAGTGTTCACGCCTGACTGACTTAGTCTGAGGAAATGACAAATAATTGTTCATTGTAAATGGAACGCTCGTCTGGCTGAAACCCAAGCAGCGATTGAAAACGCCTTTGGTGCTCTTACATTATCTCCTATTTTGGAGAATCGGTTTTTTTTTCTCCCCTCGTCGTCGTTGTCCTTTGGTATACATTGTACAAACCGATGCAAGTCAAGGAGCAGCAGTATATGGTTCGATCAACTATGGCTCCGTCGAATAGATATAGATACATGCATGTATGTACCACTAGATCACACCAAGCAATTCGTATCGGTCAAAGAATACAAAGGACAAATGCCAATTATTCGCTTGCCTGTTCGTTTGTCTATTTTTGTTTTTTTTTTTGCTCGCACACAACAATTACATTTCAATGTGTCTACACGAAATGTGATAGACACACGATTTTCGTTCCATTGACTTGGCGGCTACGCTACATTCTTCATGAATCATTGAATCAGCAAATACACATTTTTTATTCGATTATTATCATTGGTCAGTTCTATTTTGTCACATCACATTTCGAATTATATAGTGTATCTATTCTTGTGGACATTGTCGACTCCACAATGTAGCAGTGGATACAGAGCGAATAGTCGCCGATGCGAGACGGAGAAGAAAGCGAAAATACAATTTGACCGAAATGACAGTATTTTGATTTGGTCGAAATTTGATTTGAATATCCGATCAACACAAAATTATTACGTCGTCGCTGAGGTTAAAAGAAAATGGCATCATTGTATCATTTGAGTACCGTTCTCCGGTATTAAAGAATAAACTTAACTTTTTTTTCTCTTTCTCTCTTTTCTCGTCTTTCCTCACTTGCTTCCACTCTCCACCCTCTGGGCATGTTCTTGATTGGCATACTGATGTCAAAACAGCCTGAACTTCAACCTGGACATCTTATTTTACAAGGAATCTGACAAAACCTTGCAGAGTTCACTAAATATTCGTGTGTCAGCAACTTTGTGCTCAAACTATTCGTGGAAAAATGCCATACAATGTGGGTTCCAATTGTGTGATCATCTTTAACTAACGACCAAAATTTCTCGTTAACACACACACACACACACATTGATCGCCATGAAATCGGTCGAATTGGATCGGGATGCGATTGGATGTCGAACACGTTCCATTTATATAATGATCGTAATGCTTCAATTCCAAACCCTTCTGGTCGCTTGCAGCAATTGTGATTGTTGTGTGAAAAAAAATGTGTACGGGAAGAATCAACAATTATTGGTTTGACCGAAAAAGAAGGTCGTGATTGCTTATTGCTTTGCCGGTTTGCTGAGTTGTCATAATTTATCGTAATTCTTTTTTTTTCGTTTCGTTCTTCTGAGGGACGACCACTAATGTTCTAATATTTGTCTCCGCAATTACTTAGGCTCAACACTACCCACGCAGGTACGTCACGTTCCAACAATTTCAACTCCGTCGCCGCCATCGGTTTTTATGAAGAAAAAGATGACGGCCTAATGTTTGGGCAGCCTATAAATAAACTCGAACTCTCTGTTTAACTGAAGAATTACGTCTCAGCACTGCAAATTTTGTGTGTGTGTGTGTGTGTGTGTCCGGAAATACGGGCGAATGTAAACAATTTCAACAAAGAAACGAAATGTATGCACCCAGTACGAGTAATATTGATTGTTGAACGCATTTGCTCATTCTTTTTGTCTCTCTTACTCGCTTCTTCGCTCACTTCCTGGAGCGAAATGAATTTGCTTTGAAACACAGCTCATGTAATTTTATCGTTTATCGACGTATTCGTCGTGGTGCTATCTTACAAATTATAATCCCGTTTTTTCTCTCTATTCTACAGGGCGTTCGTTTACACAGTGCTCAATTTGATGACGACAATAAACATTCGAATGCAGGCAAACGGAATTAACAGTCTCGGTTGCCTTGAGGCGCATACAAACACAAAAGTCAACTCTTTTGACGCAACACATCAAATGGCTTTTGTTGTCAGCCAAGTGACGACGGAAGTGTTTGCCAACTGAAACCGTTTATGGGATTTATAATATTGGTATTTTGTTAAAGCGATTGGGAGTATGGAATCGAAGATGGAGCAAAAAAAAAAAATAGATGAAGAATCATGGTTAAATACACTGCAACTCAGAAGAAAGAAACACAGAGAAAAGTCGAGACGACTTAAAAACTGAGTTCACGGAATTCAGCAGACTCCCCGTGGAATGAGTGTCAATCTCTCTTTTTTCTTCTTTATCAGTTGTCACACCAAATCAAATCATGAAAGCACACAAAAGAACAACACTGACCTGCAAGTAGGCAATATATACATTTGTTGAACAGTGTGTTTGTGTGTTGCGCGTATGGACGCACAAATACACGCTGTGAATGTTGTTCGAAGTGAACAGCATTAAATCGATATTTTTTCGCCCGGCGAAATTAATTTAACTAAAAGGAAGACCATAGAGTGAACGTGCGAAAATATCCATATGTGTTTGTGTTACATCCACATTAAGAGAGATAGAGAGAGAGAGAGAGAGAGAGAGAGAGAGAGAGAGAGAGTGAGAGAGAGGGAGTGAGAGAGAGAGAGAAAATTGCAATAAGATAACATGAGAAAAATACACGCAGAAAAGACACACACAAAACTGATGAAACGTAATCGACAAGAATCAAATTTCAATTTGCGCGCTCTATCTGTGTCGTTTTCTCGCTCTTTCACATAGTTTTTTCTTCCTTTCATTCGTTTGGTTGATTCTTCTCTCGAACCAATCAATATGGACAATATTGACCAAAGATTACCCACGTTATAGAGTGTTTAATGTGAATCTTTGCTCGTCGCCATCCTCATCAAATTCACGTCGCAATCCATCGCAATGAAACTAACTCACTCTCTGACTTTGTGTTCCATTCCTATTTCTCCTTCGCTAGTCCAAGAAAAATCATTTGGCCGAGCTAAGGCTCAGTTGCTTTCATAACTGTGATGCAAAAATAAAAGTCGCCCATAAATTTATTATCGATTGATGCGATGCGAGACCAAAGGCGGACACAAACATTGTTAAGCAGGCAGCATTTTGACTTACACACACACACACACCGAGAATCTCTATGTATCAGAGAGTAGACGGAAACTGGAATAATACCGTTGCCTAATTGAAATACGGTCACTGTTTGTGTTGGTTTTCGCATGAAAAGTTTGTATAAATGCGCGTTACCCCTTTGCTGATACGCAACATGTCCATTTGTGGCCGTCTTCACGACACCTTCTTCTATATTAGGAGCCATCCAAATGACGCTATAATATTTTCTACTGAAATTGAATCGATGTGTGAATAATGGCAATTTGATAGTTGACCATCAGCGTGTGACCATCGTAGCGTTTACCTATTGCAAACGCCATTTTCTACAATTATTTATTGATATTGTGTCACGGCAGGCGGTCAAAATGAAGAAAGTAAGAAGAATGAATGCAAAAAATACACATAAAAAATGCATCCCTCTCTCGCATACAGATCTTACAATTTATTCAATTGATTTAAATGGGTCATCGTTTATCGTTTTTTTTCTTCGTCTTTCTTCGTCCTTTTTTTGCTTTCGTTCGCGATTAGACATACATTGTGTGGCGTCCATTGTCCATCCGATGCATGACCATGATACCATATTCGCTCAGCCAACATATTCAATTCACACAAACACAAACGAAAGAAAAAACCGAATCGCTTATTTCTTTTGATTAATTCCAAGCACACAACTGAACTTTTAACATGCTGTACATTAATCATATAAAGTGTTTTGAAGTTCTAAAG